TGATAACCGCCTTCTGATACCATGTTCAATAACCACCGTTGATCTCATCTTCACCGTTCATCTAATGACATCTGTCTATCAACTGCCATCAATCTTATCGTCTCGACACCTGTCCGTCCCAAGGTAATAACCGTCATCAAGCTCTTTCCGTCTTGAAAACTGTCCTTCCCGAGGTAATAACCGTCATCGAACTCTTTCCATCTTGACACATGTCCTCCTTGAGGCAATAACCATCATCAAACTCTTTCCATCTTGACACCTGTCATTCTCGAGACAATAACCGTCATCGAGCTCTTTCCATCTTGACACCGTCCTCCCCAAGGTAATAACCATCATCGAGCTCTTTCCCTCTTGACACCTGTCCTTCCTCCTTTTCTCGTTGACAGCTTTGATGACTTGGGTTTCATATGGTAATTTTCATCGACAACTTTCGGTACGAGAACTTAAGCGGCACTTGCTTCCTCTACGGTTCAAGCTTTTCAATTTCAAATCTTAAATTTCCCGCCGAGATATTCCATTGCTTGCCATCTGTTTGCTTACGTGAGCAATTTTCTATGGGCTACATCATCCCTTGAAGTCCTTTACAAGTTTATTTCTATTTATTTTTGTTATCAACAACTTAATTAATTATAGTTGTCAACACTGACCATGCTAATCAAGCGGATTGAGTTGGGATACTACCCACATGGAGAAGAACTATCATTGAGTGAAAAGAGGAAATGATTGAGAATATGGATAAATTGGGTGTAATTCCGAGTGTTAAAAACGAATGAGCTATTGAAGGTATTGCTCAAATGCTTGAGAAGAAACCATGTTCGTGACCAAGCTGAGCCACTTGGAAGCAAATCCACTAACCTTTCGGAGTAGGGATTACTATGTCTAGTTTTATGTTTTCATGTTTCCAATCCCCTGCGTGGGAACTACCTTTCCTTGTTTCATGAACTTTGTTAGTAAAGTCTATGTTCTCCCTTCGGATCTCGAGCCATTGGTATGAGACGGTATATGTTGTAATGCGGCCTTATCTTTAATGTTAATGCATGTGTTTTGTTTTGAAGGTGTATTATAAGCATCCCAAACTAGCCCTGTGATGATCTTTGAGGACTGGGTTTCTATACGATGTTTTAAAATTTGCGAAAAATAACATGTAGGGGTATCCCAAACTAGCTCCATGATAATCTTTGAGGATTGAACCTCTACACGATTTTTCTTCGAAAAAAGGTGGGTTTGGAACATTCTAGTCCAATGATATGAGGACTAAACTTCTCAAATGTTTCTTCCTAAAATCGTTCAAAAATGAAGTTTTTGAACAAATTATTCCAATGATATGAAGACTAATTCCTAGGTATCCTTTCACAATTTGATTCCAATGAAAAAGATTATTCCACATGCATCGCATTTGTTATTAATATGTTGCTAAGCATTCGCATTACATCACAAGCAATAAGGATTAGCGTGGCTCAGAATTGCAATTCAAATGTCCCAGCGGTGATTAATCATGCATGACATTTAGTTATTTGCATCATGCATCATACGCATATGAGTTCCTTATGCAGATAAAATGAGGCAAAGCCACAGTATATTGAAAACCATGGATGGAGCGTTCAACTATAGGGGCAATGCCCTCCTCCCCGTTAATAAAGTATGATAAGATGAAATCATCCGATGTGGCACAGAAAGGTGTATCATTCCTAAGTCAGTTCAATTAAGTGTGGTAATGACATGTTCCGTTTCTTACAGATAAAGGAGTGCGTTTGACCGTAGAAACAATACCTCTCACCAACAGAATATGATGGAATTGAATCATTCGCTTCAGTGTAAAAATGATGTATATCGTTCCTTAATAATTCTTAATGAGAATAGAAATAATCATTTTCATCGTTTTCCTTGCGGATAATAAATGGGACAAGACGCCCAAAAGGCAACGTCCCATATAGATATACGTCGCACGATTGCATTGGTAGCACAAGAGCCAAATAAGTGAAGGAAGCATAATGGTGTAGCTGCACCAAAGAAAAGAGAAAAAATGATGGGTAATGTTATGTCGTTCCTAATTTTTCATCTTCAAGGACTCAATTACTGACATATCCTTTTTCATCTTTACAAGGTTACCGAGTCATCATGCTACAGGTAAGTATTCTTCTCCCTAAAAATAAATGGAAATCAAAATGAAGAATTTTCATTATAAAGAAAAACCTTTAGCTTTTCTCTCAAAATGAACATAAAAATGGACATGTCAAGAAGAAACAAACTTTTCACAAAAAATTTGAATATCTTCTTCATCTGAAAATTGTCTTACCTCTCAGCAGATCATTCATCTTAAATCAAAATTCTCCGTGGAGATTAGTCTACTCAATTGATCTCAATAAAATGAAAGGAAAATGTTAATCGTGCCAAGTGAGAAACACCTAGATTGAGGAAAGGCAAATCATTCCTCAACACGTCGTCTAAACACTTCGAGAGTTGAGTGAAAAAAGAAAAACACGTATTGTTTAAAGACGAGGGATTCATTCAAAGTGGTACATGGATCGAGATGACAAGGGGCATTTCTTTCCTCTATTTAAAACACTATCAGACCATAGTTGGCCCCTTTGATGCTTTTTAATGTGGAGAATTTTTACAAAATACTCCTGTCAAGAACCACCCCCGTATTGGTTAAAATCATTTGGTGAAAAGAAGAGAAAAATTTCATTACCTTCACTCTGAGCTCCCTTTGACACGCACGATATGAAGACTCGAGGTTTGTCGTCAAAATTAAGGTATCATTCGTTATCTTTGAAATGAATCACTCTGAGCTCCCTTTCAAAGAGGATTAGTTTTTGACACCCGAATTTTCGGATTGATATCCAAGGAAATTTTGTTAATTATGAAAGATTGCAAATAATTGAATCGACTCAGTTAAACCGGGATTGACCCGGCTGGCCCGTTAGAACTAGACCTAATCCGGCCCAAAACCGCGCCTCTCTCTTTGGCCGAAATTCCCATGCCACATGCCATTAATCAAAATCCTTGCTATACACAATATTCAACCCTCTATCTCTTGAGATTGTGACAAGCGATGATCGCACAAAAATCCTAAAGACAAACCCCTCACTTTTTTCCTCTCATCTCTTCCGTAGGCGAAAAAAAAAAGAAAGCAGCAGTAAAAACAAAAAGGTGGCTCTTTTAGTTTGAAAGGGGGACGGACGTCCATGAAAAAAGGACCGATCTTGGCCGAACTCTCTTAGTCATGGGGTCGAAGACTAAGAGAGTCCCTCTCCCTCGACCACCTTCGTCGCCGCCACTTCCCAGCCGCCGGGACCATCTCCACAGCTCCCAAACAGAGAGGCCCTGTTTTCGGTCGTCTTGTTCTCCTCTGTCCAAGAGCTCGGCTTTCTCGTTCGAACCTCTGTATATCCAATCCTGAAGTTCGGGAAGCTCGTGTCGTTCCTCAACAACAACCATAGAAACTCTGGTTTCACCTAAAACCACCCTTGCCGAGCAGATCCGAGAGTCCCTGTTTTGGCGTTTTTCACAGACAAGACTCTGTTTTGTGTCTGAATATCTCAAAGTAACGAGACGTTTGCTTAAAGCTTGTTCAGCGTTTGCGGTTTCAATCCTCAACGATAACAGAAGTGTCACTCACTGATTCAGTCGTCCATGGCGACTTCGCCTTAGCTTATTGACCAGGTAACGCTTCTCCCATTCTCTCCCCTGCTTTGAGGTTGAGCTGTGTTAACACTACTTGGGTAAATAACTGGGAATCTGAGTCTCTCCTGGATGATTTGAGATGATATTGTGGTCCTAGCGTTGTTTTGGGTAAAGAAATTTTTCTTCGGTTCCATAGCTAGGCTCAACATTTGAGGTGCCCGTGAACCGTTCGATGATATGCATAGAGGAAGTCATAAAATAGTTCCTGGAATTGCTAGAACTGAGACGCTTTTGATATGTTTCATTAGCCATCAGAGGCAGTTTTGATGCATAATGAAGTCATCTATAAATTCCCTGAATCCGCATGAGGGCTTTGTTTGTTTCTTGGTTGTTAGATTAGTTTTGGGCTCTACTTGGTGTAATTAGGTTTGGGATAAGTCTGGTCCATTAAGGTTGGGTTTCATTTACTTCTAGAGGAATTGAGCTTAATTCTCTGAGTTGAGCTCAATTCGATCTTTAATTGAAACATCCTAATATCATATATGGACCGGGCCCAAGGGCCTAGCCCGAGTCCCTATTTTCGGAATTAAAAATTTTAATTTTTTTAAAAAATCGAAATTTAAAAGAAAAATCAGAAAATAGCTTTTATATGAGTCTTCATTAGGTTGTTAGATATTCAGCATTAATTTTATTTTAGTTTCATTTATTCAGTGCCTTTAATTTAATGATGTTAGCGAGTACCATGATATGAGTTCAGTTTTGATGAATTGATCTTCTAGGTAGGAAGTTGGACTCAATTTGAACTTAACTTACGGGGGTTGCTATCTTGAGGTTTAATAACAATGCCATGTGTATTCTATACTTGGTGCTTTATTGAGTTTACTTTTCTGTACTTTACTTTTTTCGCACTGATTGTAATTGTCTACTTTTCATGAATTGCATACTCATGCATGGATATCATTTAGTGGCATAAGTTAATAAAATGGACAAAAATTGCATGAATCATTTAGGTAACAAATGAATGAAGTTAGGGTACCAAAATGATATTAATTAGACAATTAGTGTAATCAAGTCCCCAACCCTAAATCCTCTAATTGCGTAGGAAGTGAGGTATGCTCCTCTACCTTGGTTTCTAGCTGATCTTTGATAGGCTAGTGGCGGCTCCTGGTTACGTTGAACTTCATAGATAGATCTTTTTCAGTTATAGACTTCAACGTCGAGCGAGGTAAGTGTTTGGGAGAACCCGCACATTAAAGGCTGTTCGTCCCTAGCTTGACATTACCTATAAACCCGTCAGTCCCCCGACATGCTCGTCGGGAGGGCCGCGACAATGTCGAGCAGAAACAGATGAGATTCACAGCCAATAATGTCCAGTAAAAACAGATGCGATTCATAGCCGAAGTAGACTGGTTATATAGTCATGGCCCCTAATCTCTACATTTGATTCGACAGCTCTAGGAATGTAATATACATATACGAGGCAGGTGTTCCGTTCGACATTCCAAAAGCTTTTCTGAACAATTGAGTTGGGGCATAGTACAAGAACAAATTCTCACTAGCCTCTGAACTAGAGCTCAAGGCTCGCAACCTGGCTAAGACTGGCTGGCTCTTCTTATTGGACAAGAAAGTAGAACTGGAAGGAAATGCAAAGGAAAATCAGATCAATTGTTGGTAAATCAGCTGCTTCCTCTGATTTTGCTTATTCGCTCTCCATCGACCCCAAAACACAAACACTCATTCTTTTGTTTCCACCTTCACTTCCTCTATGCTCTCTTCACCCTTCAACTCCGCTTCCTTCGCTCTCGCCTCGCCCTCCTCCTTCGCCTTCTCGAGCGCCCCGATCAGGCTCTCCAAGCAAACCTCGGCATTCTTGGAAGCGCTCTTGGGCATCAGGTGCTCAGCCACGTCGGCAGGCGTCAGGTCGACCTCGTTCATTAGCTTCCCAATATGGTCGAACAGGTGGTGGTCATCGATGCCCAGGTAGTTCTTGGCCAGGACCTTGAACGCCTTGGACCTGCAATACGACAGCTCCACGTGCTTGTCCATCCGGCCCTTCCTTATCAGCGCCGGGTCAAGCTTCTCGATGTGGTTTGTCGTGAAGACGAGCAGCCTCTCTCCGCCGCACGATGACCACAGGCCGTCGATGAAGTTCAGGAGCCCCGAGAGCGTGACCCTGCTGGCCTTCTCGCCTTCCTCATCTTTTGCCGACCGCTTCCCCGGGTCTCTGACCTCGCCTTCCTTGTCCTCCTCCACTTTCTCCTTCTTCTTCCTCTGGCCCGTCAGGTCCAGCGAGCAATCGATGTCCTCAATCACGATGATCGATTTGCTTGACGTCTCAATCAGGAGCCTCCTCAGCGACGTGTTGTCCTTCACCGCAGTGAGCTCGAGGTCGTAGATATCATAATTCAGGAGGTTAGCCATCGCGGCGATCATTGTCGACTTGCCGGTCCCAGGTGGGCCGAACAGCAAGTACCCACGCTTCCAGGCTCTGCCGATCCGCACATAGAACTCCTCATTCTTGCTGAAGGTGATGAGGTCGTCAATGATATCTTGCTTCTCGTCGGGGTCCATAGCGAGGGTGTTGAAAGTCGCCGGGTGCTCGAACACGACATGGGTCCAGTACCAGCCGTTGTTCGTGTAGAGCTTCCGCTGCCGGTTCTGGAACCTGATTTCCTTGCCCTGTTTCAGGACGTGGCTCAGGTATGGCCCGAGCATGAGGTCCCTGTGCGTCTTGTGGAAGGTCAGCTTGTAATACCTTCATGATATAGCCAACCAAATTGTTAGAGGAGAGACACCCACAACAAATGCAAACCCAAGCAAAATGGAGTGAATGTAACTAGTACCCGCTTTCAGTGTCCACAGAGGTGTGGAAAGAGACCGCCTGCGTCTTCGATCCTCTCTTGCCAGAAGCCCACCAGAGCTTAACGCCGTTGTACTCATCGGAGACCTCCTCGTGGTCGTCCATGCTTATCACCAGGGACTGGTTGTTCTTGACCAGGTCGGCCTTGAGCCGCTTGGCCTGCGTGGCAGAGCGCGAGCTGAGGTAGTTCTGGATGGCCGAGTAGGCCTCGCTGCGCATGAGCCGCTCCCCCGTGTACTCGTTGAAGGTGATCTGGATGTAGGGGTAAACGTAGCGGAAGAAGCGCTGTGAGTACTTCTCGAAGTAGACCCGGAGGTCGGGCGGCAGGAACTGCTGCAGGATCGCCCATGTGAACATCACGCCCGCGATCAACGATCCCAGGTGAGCGAACATGTTGCCCGCTCCTCCCGAGTTCGTCATCGCGGTTGGTTTTTCGCTCTTCATCTCAACTCTCCGTCACTAGGAGCACAAGCACAAAGTGGAGAGATTATCCGCGAATCGATAGTTGGTGTATTTATAGGAGTAGAAAGAGAAGCGTAAGGGAAGGGATGTGGTTCTACTATTGTGGGACGGGGGTTTTTGCACTGAAGTTGCGAGGACGACCAGAAGTGTGGGGAGGAAGCAAAATGCTCGACGCTTTCCTGGTCCTTTTGATTTAGATTTTTGATTCTCCAATGTCCGAAAGGTACTAGTCTAATGGTTAAGTAAAAGTAGGGACCAAGTTGAATGACAGGTGCTTATACTAAAACTCCAATTCTGGGCGGTCCCCATCACCATGTTGTCTCCTAGTCGCTAGTGATATCCCATCATCCACGTCTGGGGAAGGATGCTTCCTGTGGTGTTTCCGGTTGAGCATGTCTGTTGAAATTCTCGCTGGTGCTGAACCAAAAGGAGACGGCTTCCACGGAGTCGCTGTCCGTGTTGACTGTGAGGTCGGAGTCGCGCCCGTGTTCACGGAAAATGACGCTGTGATTTGGATGTGAAATTACTCACAACCATTTCGGTGTCTGATCATGGAACTCGATCTCTTTGGTCGAATCGCTATCTCGCCGGGCCACCGGCCTATTGGTAACTTGGAGTCTAGAAAGAAAATTGCTAACAAAGAAAGTAAAGATTCAGAAAGACTATGGCATGATCAGAATTCTGTAGAGCAAACTACCTGTTCAAATTAGAGAAGTATCTTGTAAATCAGTAACAGCGTCCTAATAAAGTCGAATTCGACAAAATAGATTTGACATCGTTAAAAGTGTCCTACTAGCGAGCCGCGTTGACACAACTGTCAAGTAAACCCAAATCTCCAAAACCCGTGCGGTTTTTCCGAAATCAATGTCGAAACCAATCTAACCCTTGCTGCTATCTACAAATGACAGTTTTGAGGCTTAAAGGTTCGGGATTTTTTGGGAAAGTGATGATCCCGGTTCCGCGATTAGCTTAATCCACTCATGCCCTTCGTATGCTAGAAATAAGTCGAGCGATCCCACAAAACTGGCGTCTGAAATTAAAGAAAACGCATTTACATGTGCGCAAATGGAGCAGCTTAGTGTCTCGGTTTTGATCTAGACGAGCCAACACTCCCAAAAAGGCATGGCAAACGGAAATCTCCCAAAACAGAATGAACGGAGGGCCATCAAAACCAATTACGCCACCTGCTGTGACTCGACATGCGTTGTCCTAGGTGCTCTAAAATCAATTATTTACCAACTTTTTTCGTTCTTTTTCTACAGCGGGAAGAGCAATCCCACCACGCCTCTTTCAAAAAGGACAAAGACCACACCAACAAGTCAGCTAGCGGTATAATTCTATTACAGCAATCCAGAGTTGGTGTCTTAGCCTCATTGCGTATGCTCCAACCAATTCGTATTTAAAATTGCAGATCAGCATCAGCAAGCATATCTTGATGCACGAGAATGTATGACGCCGAGAGGTTGATGTCATGCAGCTGACAAGGCCAAGAAGACGAGCAATCCCATTCCGTCTCTTTCTCAAAGGACAAAGACCAAAGCATCAAGTCGGTGCGCATGCTTTCAAATGCTTGGACTGCTTAGTCTTCTTTCTTCCTAAACAAATGAGGATAATAAGCCCTGCACTCTGAACATATAATATCATCGTTACTGTTTTTCCAATATGTCCATACTTGCATGATCCACACCCTGCCTGATCTGCGCATATCCATTTAACCATCTTGATTGTTAATTAATTCCTAATCTTTCCTATGTGCCCAAAATCAGTATCAACTGCTTAATAATCTGTCACCTATTTGTTCGGGACAAAAGAAAGTAAGAAACCAATGGATCATGAACCAAAATCTGGCCTGAGTACTACTTAAGCAAGGGAAAGTCGCAGGACTGATGAGATTACTTTACTAAGCCTAACTTTCGACAGAAGAAAGAAGCTAACCAGAAATTTTACTACTTGCAAGAGTTTAAAGGCATAATCCAAATTGCAAAGTAACAAGAGGAAAAAGTTCATCTGGACCACTAAACATTCCCCCCATTTAAGCCTATCCTTGAAGTTCTGCTTTTCGTAATCTTAAATCTAAAACTCGAAGACAACAAGAACGTATCTACCACTCCAATTTGTTAGCTGCTTTCAGTTTGATCCCATCCACTTTGCATGGCCAGTCTTTCTGTACTTCGGCATCCACTCGACCAATATGACACCCTTCATCCTTTCTTCTTAAGCAGAGATCCCACCCATTTTTTACTCTCCCTCCACCATTTTGACCTCTTCTCTTGCCTTTCCCTTTCAACTTTGGCCTGTGCTTCTTCCTCGGCGTTCTTCTTCGCTTTTTCCTTCACTGCTTCGAGTGCTTGTATCAAGTTCCTCAAGCAAACCTCCACATCCTCATCGTCGGACTTGGGCATCAAGTTCTCTGCAACATCCGCAGGAGTCATATTGGTATTGTCGAACAACCCACCAATTGTTTTATACAGAGGATGATCATCGATGTTCAGATAATTTCTTGCAAGAACCTTGAATGCTTCATAGCAGCAATATGACATCTCTATGTGCTTATCCATCCGTCCTCTCCTTATAAGAGCAGGATCGAGCTTGTCCAAATGATTGGTGGTAAATACAATTATTCTTTCACCCCCACAAGCAGACCAAATTCCATCGATGAAGTTAAGAAGACCAGATAAAGTGACCTCACTGCTTTTTTTCTCTTTTTGGGTCAGCTTCTTCGCTGGGCTCTTATCCTCGCCACCATCGTCGTTTTCATCGTCCCCCTCCTTCTTCCTCTGGCCGGTGAGATCGAGAGAGCAATCAATATCCTCGATCACGATGATAGACTTGCTTGAAATCTCGATCAGAAGCCTCCTCAGCTCCGTGTTATTTTTGACTGCCGTGAGCTCCAAATCATACACATCATATTTCAGGAAATTGGCCATAGCAGCGACCATGGTGGACTTTCCAGTTCCTGGTGGACCATAGAGCAAATAACCGCGCTTCCAGGCCTTGCCAATTTTGGCATAATATTCTTTTCTCTGGGTGAATTTTGTAAGGTCGTTCATGATTTCTCTCTTCTTGTCTGGATCCATAGCCAACGTTTCAAAAGTTGCTGGGTGCTCAAAAACAACATGGTTCCACATGGAGTAGAGCGGATCATTCGTGTATAGCTTCCGCTGTCGATTTGTAGATGCAATCGCCTTCCCTTCAATCAATACGTGCCTGATGTAAGATTGCATGATTAACTCCCTATTTTTTCGATTGAATGTGAGTGTGTAGTATCTCGGCGGCTCTGTCGCAGCATACATTGAAACTGAGGAACTCTGGGGGGAAACTTTGTTCAAGATCCACCGAACCTTCGCGCCCTTGTATTCATCGGTGACCTCCTCAAAGTCATCCATGCTCAGGACAAGAGATCGGCTGTCTTTGACAGAATCCGCTTTAAGTTTCTTAGCCACGGACGTGACATTCTTTATGAGGTAGTTCTGAATGGCCATGTACGCCTCGCTGCTCTTCATCCTTTGGCCCGTGAACTGAGGGAACGAGATCTGGACGTGGTTGTCGAACAGGCTCATCCATTTGTGGATATATCGGTCCACGAAGTCGCGAAGCTGGGAAGGCAAGTACTGCTGGACCATTGCCCGTAGGACGACCAGCCCGCCGATCGTGGACCCGTAGTGCGCAAACATCTCTGCAGGAAACATCATCTCTCTCCAACTTGAAATTTCAACCTGCGAAGCGAGGGTATGTGCAGTGTTTCAGTTTGAGACAGTCAAAGAACGAACAACTCTGTTTTATTGCATATACAAAGGGACAGAAGATGAATTTACACATGTGAGTTTTTCTTCACAACGGCTCAGTACAATGGAGAAGGTATTAATTTGCTGAACAACAACATTCATGGAGAATAGTTTTCATCCCACGATGTCCCAACTCCTACAACCACAGCCATGTCTCCTAAAATTTGTCCTAAACACCAAAAGAGACCAGAACGGTGGTACACACCAAGACCGCAAACAGAATCAGACACTCACTTACAAAAACAAGAACAAAAAAACGAACTGCGAAGCGTACAATAAAACAGATCATCATCATCATCATCATCATTATGTGTCAACGCGACGCGGGTTACCTTCAAACAAAACTTGGGATCGGTCTTTGCTGCAGTCGGACGCGCCACCTGCTCTCAGACTCTCGCTGCTAACGGCGAGTGGCTCCTTTACGGCGGTGGACGCGGGAGGAGGAGGAGGAGGAGGCGGAGGAGAAATAAAGGACAAAGATGCAGAGGAAAGGTGTATGGAACAGAGACTGTGCGGAACAGAGAGAGAGAGAGAGAGAGAGAGAGAGAGAGAGAGAGTATGCTTTGGAGGAGAAGAGAAATGCGCATCGCGCCAGAGAATTTGTAATGGCTATAAAGTCGCTAATGGGAGCTACTATTGGGTGCACTAAATACTATCAATTCATCATGGAAATCGCAGCCATCAAAATTGAAGGTCATACGAACTCAGTCTGTGCTTCACGACTTTTGTTTCTCGCTTGGGTAGGTAACACAGCCTGTTCTCGCTTAGTGTCATCTAAATGGAAAATGACAAAAATGATCCATCATCTTTGACTCAATATAAAATGTGATCCTTGAACTTTAGTCTTATGTGCAATGTGATCTCTGAACTTATAATTTATTTAATGTGATTCCTAAACTTTTAATACATGTTTAAACTAGTCCTCGAACTATACAAAAATATTCAATGTTCTCCTTTCATTAAATTAAGTTCAGGGACAATATTAAACATTTTCATTTATTCCCGAGACTAGTTCGAACATGTATCAAAAGCGACCATATTAAATAAATTAAAAGTTCATGAACCACATTGCATATTGAGCTAAAGTTTAGGGACCGCATTGAAAAAGTTAGAAGTTCAGGGACCACACTATGCATTGGGCATAAGTTTATGGATCACATTAAAAAAGTTAAAAGTTTGGGAATCACATTACACGTTTGGTCAAAATTAAGGGTCCATTTGTGTTATTATCCCACACCTAAACAATAATTTCTGTTTTTTTTCTTTAACGATTAGATGGTGTCAGAACCAGATTTCACGTAACTCGATTAGTCCCACAGGTTACACGGTTGAAAAGTAGAATCGACAAAAATCTTGAAACTAATAAAAGACGAAGATGAACGAGAGCTAATTGATATTTCACACGGTGGGGTTCACACCGTAACCACGAACCGTATAGAAAGAGTATGTTTTTCCGAGCGTTCTCGGAAAACGAAAAGAAAAGTGCGGGCTCGCAAGGTCGCCATCGCCGGTCCTTTCCGAGGTTGCGTCTTCGAATTTTTTTCTCGTGTGAAAGAACGCCACACGAGCTTGCGAAGGCCGGCCTGAAAAGTTGAGCATATTCTACATTCTGTTTTCTTCCTTTAGCGTGCTTTTATGACGACACCTAGTCGATGATGTCACCAGAAGATGCAAATCCATGGCTGTGATGCATCCGATGAGGTCTTTTAAGCAATTAGCAGGGTCATTCATTTGGCAACATGACAAGGGAGTCAATTTCGTTTATCTATTTAGACAATGTCGACACTGATGACCCGCTGTATGGTCCAAACTTACTGGTCCCACTTAGTAGGTAGACTGATGAGGAATCCACGGCCGCGCTCGGTGACTGGCAGCAGTAAGACAAGAAAATTTGGGCCACCTTCAATTTTTCCATGCGCAACTTGCTTCCATCATATAAGTCAATAGAAATGACTCGGAATTCATTCTCTTGCTGCACAAGGAAAATGACGCACAAATAACGACACCAGGAGCTGCAGGAGTTCCTCAAAGTAGAGCAGCGCTCTATTCACAATTCATAGAGAAATTAAACATGTTTATTCCTCGAGACATGTTCGCAAGCTTCGGATCCGCGATCGGCGGTCTGGCGTTCATGTGGGTTATGTTTCCCCGGTGGCAGCAATATATCCCTCCCCAGATCCGCGACTTCCTGAACCGATGCATCAACAAGTTGGTGAACTTGTTCTATCCATACGTTCTGATCGTGTTCCCCGAGTTTGAGGGGGAACGGCTTGTGCGCAGCGAGACCTACATGTTCATCCAAAGCTACCTCAAGGAACATGCCACTTCGCGGGCGAGGAGGCTCAAGGCGGAGACCGTCAAAGGTAGCCAATCTCCAATTCTAAGCATGGGTGATAACGAGGAGGTCACCGAGCTATTCGAGGGGGTTAAGGTCTGGTGGACCTCGAGAATGCATGTCCCCAGGAACCCGTCCCTTTCGCTCTATCCCATGACCGAGGACCGGAGGTATTACCGGCTCTCATTTCACCAGCGACACCGACAGCTGATCACGCAGTCTTATATCAAGCACGTCTTGACGGAAGGAAAGGAGATTGCACATAGAAACCGGCTGCAAAAGCTCTACACTAACAATCCGAGCAAGAACTGGAGCCACGTAGCGTTTGAGCACCCTGCCAATTTCGAGACCTTAGCCATGGACCCGAACAAGAAGCGGGAGATCGTAAATGATCTCAATAAGTTCAGAGAAGGGAAAGAGTACTACGCCAAAATAGGCAAGCCCTGGAAGCGCGGTTATCTGCTCTATGGCCCGCCAGGAACCGGCAAGTCCACCATGATTGCTGCCATGGCTAATTTCTTGAACTACGATGTGTATGATCTCGAGTTGACTGCGGTCAAAGACAACACAAAGCTGAAGAATCTATTAATCGAAACTTCGAGTAAGTCTATTATTGTGATCGAGGACATTGATTGCTCGCTTGATCTGACAGGCAAGAGAAAGAAAAAGGAGAAGGACAACGATGAGGACGACGAGGAGGACGATCCGGCGAAGAAGATGGTCAAAGAAGAGAACAAAGGTAGCAAGGTGACTCTATCTGGTCTTCTCAACTTCATTGACGGTATCTGGTCAGCTTGTGGGGGAGAAAGAATCATCATATTCACAACCAACCATGTGGACAAGCTCGACCCTGCTCTTATAAGGAGAGGAAGGATGGACAAGCGCATAGAGATGTCCTATTGCTGCTTTGAGGCATTCAAGGTTCTTGCGACGAATTATTTGGACATCGAGGATCACCCTCTGTTCGAAACAATCAGCCAACTATTTGCCGAGACCCGTATGACACCTGCTGATGTCGCGGACAACTTGATGCCTAAGTCCGACGACGAAGATGCAGAGACCTGCTTGAGGAACTTGATAGAATCGCTCAAAGCGGTGAAGAAGGAAGCAACGAAGAAAGCCAAAAAAGAATCGCGGGCAAAGGCCAAGGACGGGCAAGAGAAGAAAGTCAATGGTGAGAAAGAGGAAGCGAAAGAGAGTGGAACATCTGCTGAAGAAGTGAAGGAAAATGGTGACATCAGTGGAGGAGCTGCTGCTAAAGAGGTGAGGGAGAATGGACTTGCAGTTGCAGATGTTGAAATTTAGCTGAAAACGGGGCAAATGGAGTAATTGGTGTAAATAGGGAAAATTAAGTAGTCTTCATGGATTTATCTCCCTGTTGTAAGTCAGACATTTGCTGCATCATTTCAAATCAATAAAGAAATAGTGGTTTGACTATCACAATTATGTTCTAACATCTCAACGGGGTTCTAGCTGTCCAAGTACATATCAAACGATAAACATCCCCAACTCAATCAAATAAGAGTTGGTAAAACAAGAACTAAATGTGACTGGATTTGTGAAGAGTTGGCAAATCTCTCAAATTAACATTGCTAAATTGCTATGAAAGTTGATGTTGCGACCCTCTCGAGGGCTAAAATCTCAAAGGGGGCTTGACGAATTACCAAGCAGGCGAATGATCCCTCTCGTGAGGTGGCGCATGCACTTGGTGCAAACTCTCTCAAACCCTACCGATCACAACATTGGTTTTCTCAAGTTATTAAGCAATTTCGATTTTCCTTAGTAGCCGCCACTAATGTATTGCAATTTGGTTTTCCTCAATCAATTTTGGATCTATTAGAAGCCAAGTAAAATGCATGAGTTCGTCTTACTTTCATGAACTAGAGATTCGGGGGTCCAGGAACTTCAAACGCAAATGAAGCGTAAATGAAGAAGAAGACCATTGGAGGACAAAATAAGGAAAAGAAGGAGACGCTCGTCCGTGGAGAAGGGTAAAAGGGAAAAAGAGAGGAGAAAGAGAGATATTCATGTGTAGCCCTTTTAGATGTCCCCTCAAGCCGAATTAATTTTGTTTTGCAACGCTGGGTAAGTATTCAAGCCTATTATTCGTATAATCGGAGTAATTTTGAGATTAGGTCATATATTTGGAGTTATGCGAATTTTTGAGCTACAAAGTCTGTAGATTTAAATGGAAAAAATAATTTAGGGCACTATGGAGCCGTGAGGTGGACAAAAATCGATTTTGAAGTATGTTTTGATCGGAACAAATTTCCGAAGTTTCGCGTATGAGTTACGTGTATCAAACAAAGATGAACATTCTCTATGAAAGAGTTTTTTCGTTAGCGTGTAGGAGTTAATTGGTCGACGATTAAGGTAGTTAGTTAAGTCGTTCGTTAGGGTAGCGTATTACTCGAATTTTGATTTTATGTTTCAATTAATTGAAAGGAATAAGAGTGCATGAGCTCGAGTGACTTTCATAAGTTGGTGTTCAACTTTCCCAGGTGAGTGGTACTATTTTTTTTTTTTGAGTTTGTAAACTTATATTTCAAAAACGATATGGATTGGATAAATCATGAGTTAAGAAATGGCATTTTTGGCTACATAAAATTGGATCGAGCATGTACTTCCATTTTGTCTATTTGAAATGGCAAGCTATTATATGATACAATTTGAGTTGATTGCCTGTAAATGGTTTGAAAAATCTTAAATGAAAGAATCACGAAAAGTTCATGATTTTTATATATGGTTTATGAAAGGTACTTTAATATGTATTGAATCATGAAAAGTTATATGATTTTGTTAGTAAACCTGAGCATTGAGATGGTTTCTTGTTTTGGTCGTAAGTTATTGGAGATTAAGGTTGCTGGATCATGCTCATATCGCTATGATTAAGACCCATTGGAGGGGATAAGTATGCATACTATTATCATAACGTCCTTCTAGGCCGAGCCACTAGTTGATATAAGTAGATACCTAACCAAGAGGGGTAAACTTGGTCACATTTGTCACTGGCGTTAAGCATGACCATAGTTAGATATTGAGCATTAGATTGATCGATGGAATGGACCATCGATGTTTGATTCGATAGAGATTAATCAATGATGGTGATTTTATTATTTGTTGATTTGATATTGTTTAATGATCCAATATGAAAAGTTTTGTTGAAAAGATATAACCCATTTTTTATATTTTATGTATATTGTCTATTGGATTTGTGATTGATGAGTTATGATATTGTTTTATAAAGATGCACAATGAATGTTTGATATGCTTAAAAGAGATGCATTAGTCACTAGGCTATGGTTGCTCATTTCATTCATCTTACTTACTTTTTGGTTCTTCAGCTCGTTGCAAGTAAGATGAGAGCGTTTACATTATAAGGATGACAATTTGATAGTGGATTTTTTGGGTATGACTTGTTTATGTTTGAGATGAACTTGTGAGTTTAGTTGTCAGACATATATATATATATATATATATATATATATATATTATATTTGATGAATTATAAAAACTCTGATATTGTAACTTCATGATTTTTTTATAAAATATATATTGATGTATGTATGTCCATAATAGGCTGATGATGGTTTTGTTTGAGGCTGTCTTTCAAATAGAAGGACGGCTGTGTCATTGCCCTTGTACTTGTAGAGTCTTCAAAGTGTAACACTCCGAGTTTATACTGTATAATATTATCCGCTTTGAGTCCACTAACCCTTACGATTTTAAAACACGTTACACAGATATAGAACGTCAAGCCTTAGAAGTCAGTCAAGGACTCCTCTCCTAGGCGATGTGGGACAAGAGAGACTCCCTCTCCCTTCCCTGCACACGTCCGAGAACCGAGGCACGGACGCACCGCCATCCCTCCTCCCTGCGCACCGCTACCTGAGCCGTCACACTCTCCATCCCTTACGGGCACAACGCCCTCGCTGTGGTCCCACACATGATTGAGAGTCGGCTCTGATACCACCTGTAATACCCCGGATCTACACTGTGTAATATTATTCGCTTTGAGCCCACTGACCCTCACGGCTTTAAAACACGTTACATAGATATAAAACCCCAAGCCTTATAGGTCAGTCAAGGACTCCCCTCTAGATGATGTGGGACAAGAGAGGCTCCCCTCCCTTCCCTGCGCACATCCAAGGACCGAGGCGCGGACGCACCGCCATCCCTCCTCCCCATGCACCGCTGCCAGGGCCGTCACACAAAGATAGCGAATGACTAAACCGGACACGTTGTTTGGATGATTAACTCTGTAGTATGGTAACTTTGAAGCCGTGATGACTAAGCAAAGAGTGGCGGAGCAGCGAAAGGAGAAGATGAGCTACGGGGAGAACGGCGCTTGTCTTGCCACGAGATGGACAATGACAGGCTCGCGTGGTGAGCTGACTCGTTGGAAATGATGAATGTCGCTTGTGGCAATCGACTTAGTGATGATCTGTTAAGGCAATACATTGAAAAGGACGCAAAACAGAGCAGAGATCAAAAGACAAATATAGAATGGATCAAAATAATACAAGAGTTTAATCGAAAAAGGAATAACTTGGTAGACGTGGCAGTGATAACAACGGGATCTCGAGGTGGCCCGATGGCGGGGACTTCCTAGGTAGTTTCGGTTCTTGAAGTCGAGTCATCCATTTGGTCCGAGGCATGAACTCAACTAAGGGATGGTGGCTGGTCTATGACACAGAGATTGCTCGCTCATTGGTGTGGGGTCACAGGCGGCCCAGTCGCAATTTGCCCATGATTTAAGTCACATGATGGATGTGGTGTTCCATGGGTGAACTAAGTCTTCAAGCGTTGTTCATGATTCATTTTGACAGCGCCGCTGTTCAGTACTGATACTAATGATGGCAGTGATTGTTACACTTCATAGGCGCAGCTCTAATACCAAATGTTGAAATGCCGAAGTGTGACTCTAATATCAATTATTGAGAAAAACACACAAGACTAGCTAAACTCACTCACACACGCTTAGATGGATGCTAAGCTCAAGTTCTACAATTGAGGGTGCTTGAGTATTTATAGGTCTAAGGAGGTGGTTATGCCTCCTAAAGTATCTAAATATTTCTAGTAAAATATCTTCCTAGAAGTATCCTAAAAATATCCTAGATATTTCTAAATAATGTCTCCCTAGAAATATCTTGAGAACAAATCTCTGCACATATTTCCAGAGAAAATATGTCTATAGATATTTCTATCTTTCTCTAAATAATTATAGAAAAAGTAACTTTCTAGTTATTTGTACACTCTACATTAAATATCTTACAATAAAATATTTAGATATTTAGGTAATCTAGAAAGGATTTGGCTAGCATAACGGCACCTACATGGGTAAATTGTAACGGTGCAAGCTAGACCGCATGATTTATTTTTGCAAAGGACGGACAACCGGATGGGCAACCGAGTGGAGAGAAAATATTAGGTATGTGTGGAATTTACTTGAGCCCACTTATCAATTACCACGTGTTCATAACTGGGCCCCGCGTCTGATTCCATCTTTCACTCTGCACTGCTCCGCTCCTGCTACTCTCTCTTCTCTCACTTTAATTTCTTCTTCCTCGTCTCCGTGATCTGTCTCCACTCTCCAGCAAGGCAGCAACATCCTCAATTCCTCCTCCAGCGACTTTGGCAATTGGGCATCTGTCCTCTCCGCCAACGACCCCTCGAGTGCTCCCCGTCTGCGCCATCCTCTTCGTCCCCGCCATCACCAACGCTGCCGTCTCCGCCCCGCAAGGAAAACCCCCCCCCCCTTCTGTCTCTGTCTCTGTCTCTCCTCCACAACGTCATCCCTCGACACATCGCCTTCTTGCTACTCAAGCTCTTGAGCACAGGCTCTCGCTTGCCGACCCTCCTGCCCACTACTCCACCTCTCGAATGCTCCCCATCCTCGAGCCCGTCCTCTTCTCCTTCCTGTTGTGAAATTTGGGAAAAAAAAAGTAATTGTCTTCTGCATACAAATACTGTTCATAAGGATAATTTCGCCATATTCAGAGTACAAAACTCGGTACGACAAGCTCCGGTGGCTATCATCTCAAGATACAACAGATCTTTTATATTCCACGGTGAATATTAGAAAGAATATCATCAACGTAACATGTATAACCCAGCAAAAAAAAAATAACTTTTTTTATGAAAATGATATTCTCTTTTGAATTTGGTATATCTTTTAAGATAGTCTCTTTTGAAGTTTTATTTTTATATTGATTAGAAATAGAGCCATTAAGAAATCGTTATATAGCCATTGTAAAATAATGGAGGGTTTATGAAGAAATAAAACATACGTAAAATGGCCGTTATATTATCGTTGAAGAGTCGTTATATGACCGTTAAAAAAAAATAATGATGACTTTTTTTGCAATCATAATTTCTATCAAATCTATTACTTTAAAATTTTACAAAACTGTTGAAATATCTAACACTTCCAATGCCCTTGC